TATGGCTTTACTATGATAATCAAACCAATGTGATACTGGTGTGAGAACAGACATATTGCTGTGACAGAATAGATAACCTAGAAACTGATAACTTTAAAAATTGAATAATCAGCCCAGCTGGTGTGCCTCAGTGGTTGAGTGTCAACCTCTGAACCAGGAGGTCACAGTTCGATTCCTGGTCGGGGCACATGCCCTGGTCCCAGGCTTGATCTCTAGTATGGGGCATGCAGGAGGCAGCTAATCAATGATTCTCTCTCATCACTGATATTTCTATCCCTTTCTCCCTCTCCCTTCCTCTCTGAAATCAATAAAAATATTTTTTAATTGAACAATCAAAAATTACTGGGAAGAGAGAACCTTAAAAGAGACCCATATACCTATAGGAATTTAGAATGTTATAATAGCATATCAAATCAGTGGGGAAAGGATGGGCTCTAATATTGGGGAAAATTTGTTATATATTAGGAAGAAACTAAAAAATAATAATAATATAGGAAATTATTTTTAAACCACTCTTTGGGAGCATTTTTCCTAGGCATGACATAAATGCCAAAGTTCACAAATGAAAAGGTTGACGTATTGACAGTTTGGACAAAATATTTCCAACATATCAAAAGAAACTTAGTATTTAATCATTACGAATCAATAAAAGAAACAACCTAGTAGAAAAGGGGCCAAAGTATTTACATAAGAAAAGGATATATATGAAAAAATGCTCAATATCACACAAATAATTCAAATAAAATATCTTCTTAGATCCTCCGTCTCCCCCACAAAAAACAAACAAATTTTTCTTTAAAATGTTTATCCAGTGTTGCTGAAGGTGTGGATGAACGAACTTTTACATTTTTGCTGGGAGTGCAAATTAAAGCAGTTCTTTACAAAGTAATTTGCCTCCATCTCATCAAAGAAATTAGCAAATCCTTTGAACAGTTTTCACTTCCTAATGCTCTAATATATCTATACACTGATGTCTGTTACAGCATTTCTATAATAATGAAGTATTAATATGGGACTGGTTAAAGTATGCTCTGTATGTTAATATGGGACTGATAAAATTATGCTCTGTAGAAATTACAGAATTATGGGGATATTAAAAAGCATGAGCTAGGTATATACAGACAGAAGGAGGTCCATGAGAAAAGTTGCAGAGCAATATGTATTTCACTTTGTCAAGACCAAGTTAATGCATGATATATGTCCACTTATGTGTATAATATACACACTTAGTTTTAAAGGTATGTTATTTGTGTAAATGTGTACATAAAAAGATATGAAATCATTCTGGGATTGGGGAGGGGATGTGGTAAGGAGAATGCCTGCATCTTTATGTATTTGGTATTCATAGGTATATAAAGATTACTCAATAATTGGTGCCACAAAATAAATTGTGGAAAAGTATATAGATTTTCAGTCCATAATTTACATAATAAATTCTGGGTAGATTAAGGAATTAAAATATAAAATCCATAAAAGTATGGCATCTTAATTTTTAAACTTAATGAAAGGGAAAACTACATATTTCATCATATAAAACTTAACATCAGACGTAAAATGTCTGAACTATAAGTGTTGGAATCACTAAATAATTGGGTCAGTGGGGGAAGGGAGACATACGTAATACTTTCAATAAATAGCAAGTGAAAAACTAAACCCATTTTCTTTACCAAATTTACAAATTAAATGACAATAGCCAAATAGCCAGTGCTATTTGACCAGAGTATGAGATGGGAAATTGGGAAAACTTTTGGGGAAAGTAATTTGGCAACATATTACCTCTTGACCCAGTAAATTTGCATCTGGGAAACTTACAGGAATAATATGAAATGCTTTAATTACAGGATAAATTGAGGGGGCGGAAATAGCAAATTTTTTTAAAGGGAAGATCTGAGATTTGATGTCCAGTAGGAGCTCATCTCTGTTTAAATAAGTATTTACACAAAAATTTAAGGTAGACAATTAAGGCAAACATACAGATATGTTTTCATAATGCCTGAGCTTGACTTACAGAAGATAAGTAAAAAAATATTTGACAACTTATCCCTAAATTGTGCCTCCATTCCCCCCATTAGTTGAATCACCTCACTTTGATTCACTATAGTATACCCACCGGGGACATAGGTGTTGCTTCAAAATAAAGCACTATAAAGTACCGACTTTTTAAAGAAATGGTCTTTTTATAAAAAATATATATTTTATTGATTTTTTACAGAGAGGAAGGGAGAGGAATAGAGAGTTAGAAGCATGGATGAGAGAGAAACATTGATCAGCTGCCTCCTGCACACCTCCCACTGGGGATGTGCCCGCAACCAAGGTACATGCCCTTGACTGGAATCGAACCCGGGACCCCTCTGTCCGCAGGCCAATGCTCTATCCACTGAGCCAAACCAGTTAGGGCATAAAGTGCCAACTTTTCAAATGAAGGATGTGCCCAGCACATCTGTCACCGATCCATAGAGGTAGAGTGCAGTGACCTGAGTAAGGCTATCCATATACTTCTGTGACAAGTAAGAACCAGTCAATCAAAAGGATGGGTATTCCTTACATTTGCCTGGCTTCTGGCTCACAGGTAATAATAATTGCTTGATCTGTAGGATACTCAGGTGAAAATAAAGGTGCTGAGACAATTCTTTAGAAAGGCAGCTTCCCTGGCTTTATTCGCTGGGCACAAACCTTGACTAGTGGTACAGCTATTTTCTGTGCAGTGTCAGATATTTCATTCAACTTGGGACTGTATGTAAAAGATAGAAGAATTGTAGAGAATGACAGAACTCACCCACTTAATGAGAGCCAGGTAGAATTCTTTTTGTAGTTTTATGCATACCAGTACACACATAATAGATACCAATACAGCCGAAACCGGTTTGGCTCAGTGGATAGAGCATCGGCTTGTGGACTGAGAGGTCCCAGGTTCGATTCCGGTCAAGGGCATGTACCTGGGTGGCGGGCACATCCCCAGTGGGAGCTGTGCAGGAGGCAGCTGATGTTTCTCTCTCATCAATGTTTCTAACTCTCTATCCCTCTCCCTTCCTCTCTGTAAAAAATCAATAAAATACATTTTAAAAAAATAGATACCAATACGTTCAGCTATCATTCTTAAGTTCCTCCTCACTAAGTAATTGCGGATGACCAATGTGCCTTCCAGAACCGTTTACTGTCCAATCTGGCTCTACTTCTGTGTGTTCTACAGTCTGGTTGGCACTGGCCCGTCTTCTTTTCTCTAATTTATAGATTAACTATTCCCTTGTTTATGGAAGCTCTGTACTATATTAGCCCCTAGGTGGTTTTTTTGAATTTCACCTATATTACTTAACTATGTCCCCATCACAATTCTTTTTAGAAAAAATTATTTTGTAAGCATGATAGTTTATAATGTCATGCCACACTGGTCACTGATCCTTCACAGATTCCCAGAGGGTCATTTTCTGTATTCACAGATTTTGATGCTGAGGCCCACAGTTGCCCTTTAATTTCTACTCAGAACTTTGTGCCCTTTCGGATATCATTTGTTTAATGAAAGCACTAGCACCAGGCCTTTATTTCCAATAACTGGCTTCCCTGATTCGGGGCTGTAGCTTTCTAGCATTGCTTATATCTTTATTTCCCCCTCGGGGCTTCCCTGACACCTGCCCATGTTGTCTTAAGAACTGGAGGTTGGCAATGGACACAGACACTGGGGCAGTGGGGGCTTGCCTGGGGTGGGAATGGCTGGGGCGGGGGGGTCAATTGGGGAAAAAGGAAAACTTGTAAAAAATGTAAAACTTTAAACAATAAAAAATAGAAAGAACTAGATGTTGGCTAGAGGGCTTTTTCTGTGGGTGAAAGTTGTAGTTACCAGAGAAACCTGGTCCACCATCCCCCATTCTTTCATAGAGGTTACCCTGACCGTAACAGTCTGGTATTTCTCTATCAAGATATTTTTCTATGCACTTATACACATTGACTTACAGCAGAAATTGGATCACACTGTATATTAGAATTGAGACTGATGCTTATTTCTCTCCCTGTACTGTCTCTTTGGGATCCTATTGTACCTATTATGCAACCTGCCTATTTACCTAATCTGTAATAATAAAAGCATAATATGCTAATTAGACCGGACATCCTTCCAGATGAAGTTGGGGCTGCAAGGGCAGGTGGGGGCCAAGCCCCTTGCATGAATTTCATGCATTAGTCATCTAGTAATATATAATCGAACATCTTTCCATGTCAGTGCATGGTCTCTGCTTAATTCATTTGAATGTTCTTCCATAGTGTGCATACATAATTTAAATTGCCGTCCCACCCTAGCCGGTTTGGCTCAGTGTGGATAGAGTGTCGCTTGGGCCCTGGTCAGGACTCATGCAGTAGGCAATCAATCAATGTGTTTCTCTCACATCGATTTTTCTCTGTCTTGCCCTCTCTCTTCCACTCTCTCTAAAAATCAATGGAAAAATATCCTTGGGTCAGGATTAAAAATAAAAATAAATTGCCATATCCCTATTGAAGAATAATTAGGTATTTCAGCTCTCCGGTATTTAAAAACATCCCTGCAATGACCATCTTTATGTCCTTGTTAACATGTGCAGGTATTCCTGCAAGGTAATATGTTAGCTGTTTAATCACATCATGTTTATGAAATTCTTAACATGAACCTGTGAAGGCTATAGGTAATTTGCCACATTCCATAGATGAGAAAAAGTTTACATATCTTGCCTAAGGCCTGACTACTCAAATAAGGTGGAGCCTAATTAAAATAGATGTCTAACAGCAGAACTCGTTTTTTTCCCTGATACCACAATTGTAAACTGTGTGTTTATAATTAGATTATTTTTATTTTCTGTGTTTCACAAAAACTCGTCTTCATTGCAGATACTTGCTATCCTTTCTAGGTTGTCTCCCACCTCATCCTTCTATACCATCCCAGAAGATCTATAAGATTCAATCTGGAAAAGCATTAGAAGTTCTTAGAAGACCAGGAAGAAAGAGGATTATGTAAGTCAAAGAAATTGTTGCATTTGTCACACTATAAGAATCTTAGAACACTATTTTTCATCATATCTTACTAGCCCTTGCTGCTGCATTTTATACTATAGATTTTCCCTTTTCCTTATTGAAACTCAACCTATTTGGCTTCTAAAACAACATTCTCCTAATTCTCTGTGGCTACTTTGACCACTTTGTTTTACCTGTGGTCTCTCTCTCTCTGCTCACCTCTTAAATATTCTTTCCTAGTTTTTTGTGTGTGTTTTTTCCAAGAATCCCATACTTGGTTCAGTTTTTCTTCCTCTCCTCTCCATGAATGATTTCATTGATTCTCATAATTTCTGCTACCATCTGTGTAGTGATTTGGCTCAGATCTCCATTTCTGGCTCTGACCTCTCACCTGAGCTTTAAAGTCATATGTTTACTGAATACCTCACACTTAATAGATCCAACACTGAACTTCTTTCTTCTCTAATCCATTTTCTCCTCTGGATGTAGTCTCATTTGGTGATAATACTAATGACCATTCTCAGTACCTGGAATCATCACTGACTTCCCCCTCACCAATTTATCATCTCTTCCAACAAGCTATCATGAAAGTGTATCATGCACCATTTATTGTTTGCTCCCAAAATAGCCTATTTATAGCTATTATTGTACTAACCTTGTTGTTTTTATTTTTAATTTATTTTTTAATTATAGTGATTAAACAGGTATATACCTTACGATGTGATCGCCATAAGTCTACTACCCATCTAACACCATACATATAGTTACTGACTATATTCCCTATTAACTGGTAATTTGTACTTAATCCACTTCACCTTTTTCACCCATCCTCCCACCCCCTCCCATCTGGTAGCCATCAGTTTGTTCTCTGCACCTATGAGATTCTTTCTGTTTTGTTCATGGATTTTGTTTTTTAGATTCCACATATGAGTGAAATCATGATATTTGTCTTTCTCTAAGTTATTTTACTTAGCATAATAACCTCTAGATCCATCCAAGCTGTTGCAAATGGTAAGATTTCATTCCTTTTTATCGCTGAATAATAAAGATGTGGTATATATATATACATCTTTATCCATTTGTCAATGGACACCTAGGTTGCTTCCGTATCTTAGCTATTATAAATAATTCCACAATGAACATAGAAATACATATATCTTTTCAAATTAGTGTTTTGCATTTCTTCAGATTAATACCCATCAGTGAAATTGCTGGGCTACCTGGTAGTTCTGTTTTTAACTTTTTGAGGAATCTTCATACTGTTTTCTATAGTGGCTGCACCACCATGCAATCCCACCACTATGCTTGTTTTATAATTGTCACTTTAAATATTTGAATCCCTAGCACATAGCATAACCTGTTCTGAAGCAGATATGCAGTAATGTATGCTGACTGAGTAGATTAATGAATGGATGAATTACCTTTTTCCTATTTTATTGCTGATTCCAAAGTAACCATTAAAAGTCAGTGCTTTTATTAATTCATTAATTACCCAGGTTTAAAATTGCAGAGCCACTTTTGACTCCTCCCTCTCCTTCATTTACCAAATTCTGTATTCAGTTTCTCTTGACTCATCATCCTAGTTCAGGTCTACCTGGACTTCTACAGAAACCTATACTGTTACTCATTTTGTCTCCAGTTAAGTAAATCTTTCTTATTTCTTTCTTGTTGTCATTCTTCCTGTTGAAAAGTCTTGAATTTCAATTCCACTGCCTTTTGTAATTTCTTCCCCACTTAATTTATTTTCTTCTCCAAAATTATATTCCTTTGTCTTGGGTGGTATCAAAATTAGAATTTATGGTAGGTCTGATGAGGTAGTGGGTGGTAGTGAGGATAAAGGGAGGGGGGTAGTAAGTCACTTAGAAATGGCTCTGAAATTCAAATTCCAAGAGAGTAGCATGTACTGTGCTTTGATGGGCCTTTATGAAGGTCATTATAGAAAACAACCAAGTAAAATACTTTATATATTACAGTGGTTGAAATAAAAACAGGGTTGAATGAGTTCCAGAAAGCAGGGCTCTCAAAATCGTGGACAACAACCTGCAGAAGAAGACAACTTCAAAAAACCAACTAGAAGCAATATGCAGAGAAGTAAGATGAGGGGAGCCTCATCAGGAAAGAAGACAGCTGGTCCACAGCAGAAGAATCTGGAACCAGCCCTCCCGGGTAGATGGGGGGGTCGCTCTGCAGAGAATCCCCCTTCTGGATCCATGAGGAAGACCAGAAAAAACAAGCAGAAGACTCCTGGAAATGGGGATGGTGGCAGTACCAGCGAAGCCCCTCAGCCACCTCGGAAGAAAAGAGCCCGGGCTGACCCCACCGTTGAAAGCGAGGATGCATTTAAGAATAGAATGGAAGTTAAAGTGAAGATTCCTGAAGAATTAAAACCATGGCTTGTTGAGGACTGGGACTTAGTTACCAGGCAGAAGCAGCTGTTTCAACTTCCTGCTAAGAAAAATGTAGATGCCATTCTAGAAGAGTATGCAAGCTGCAAGAAATCGCAGGGAAATGTCGACAATAAGGAATACGCAGTGAATGAAGTTGTTGCGGGAATAAAAGAATACTTCAACGTGATGTTGGGCACTCAGCTGCTCTACAAATTTGAGAGGCCCCAGTATGCTGAAATCCTCTTGGCTCACCCTGATGCACCCATGTCCCAGGTGTATGGAGCACCACACCTACTGAGATTATTTGTAAGAATCGGAGCAATGCTGGCGTATACACCCCTTGATGAGAAGAGCCTTGCATTATTGTTGGGCTATTTGCATGATTTCCTAAAATATCTGGCAAAGAATGCTGCATCTCTGTTTACTGCCAGTGATTACAAAGTAGCTTCAGCTGAGTACCACCGCAAAGCCCTGTGAGGGTCTACTGACCACTCACTATTATGTCTGGTATCTGTAAACACTCTTTTTGTTCTTAGTCTTTTTCTTGTATAATTGATGTCCTTTAAAATTGCTAATGTATAACAGGGCTTATATTTCAGTTTTTCTGTTTTGTTTTAAACAGAAAATAAAAGGAGGAGTACAAGCTCCTTTTCTCATTTCAACGTTGCTACCAGTGTACGCAGTAATTAGACAAAAAAAGAAACATTCAGTAGAACATTTTCTTGCATAGTTGACAACATTGCTTGAATGCTGGTGGTTCTATCCCTTTGACACTACACAATTTTCTAATTATGTGTTAATGCTACGTGATAAAAATGCCCTGATTCCTAGTGCCAAAGGTTCTATGCAATGTATATACCTGAAAACCCATGCATTTGTGCTCTTTTTAAAATGGTGCTTGAAGTAAAACAGCCCATCCTCTGCAAGTCCATCTATGTTGTTCCTTAGGCATTCTATCTTTGCTCAGATTGCTGAAGGATGGTGGTTTGTCTCATGGTTTTTGTATTTGAGTCTAATGCACGTTCTAACATGATAGAGGCAATGCATTATTGTGTAGCCACGGTTTTCTGGAGAAGTTGATATTTTAGGAACTGTATTTCAGATCTTAAATAAAATTTGTTTCTAAATTTCAAAGCAAGTAATTTGCATTGTGCCTTTAATATTACTAAAACTTACTGGTCAGCAGACCCAGGAAAGACCTGGGTGGTGTCAATGTTCTGACTCCTGGTGAATTCCTTTTTCTGTTGGGTGTGGCAGCCTGGAGTGTGCCCTGTCAAGCAAGTTGCCCCTCTCAGTGTGGCTTCTTAAGGTGGGATCACTTTATAGTGCTGCTTGGAAGAGCCATCTTTGGTCTCTGCTTCTTGCCTCTATGAGTTGGGCTGGGTATAATAGGATATTTTGTGGGTATTACAACAGTCCCTGAAACTTATGCTTTGCTCTTTCCCATAAGAGGAAGCATGGGCAGCCCCCTCTGTATTACCTCTATCAGAGATATTTGTAGATTTGGGGGCAAGGATAACAAGCAGCTTTCCCTAGTTTCAGCATTAATGTCATATTTCCTGTTTTTATAATCCCTTGGACACAGCATTGTGAATCCTAGAGTAGAGGATCTGTGGAGGAGAGGGGTGATATTGGATGCCTATGCTTATGAGTCTACCTTATGTGGAAATTTATAGTAAGAACAAATATGGAAGTAAGAATCACGTATACTCCTACTGGATCAGTTCAGGGTCCCAGCAGGAAATAAGTGGGACTCAAAATGGATGATATAAGAGGCTTAATAATGAATTTTTCCCAAGCTGTCAGCAGAAGAGTAGGAGGGTCATGGTCTGCTAGGACTGCCACATTAAAGCCCCACAGACTGGGTGGCTTAAACAACAGGAATTTATTTTCTCACAGTTTTGGAGGCTAGAAGTCAGATCAAGGTGTCAGTGGTGTCGTTTCTTCTGAGGCCTCTCTCCTTGGCTTATAGAAGGCCACTTCCTTGTGACTTCACATGGTTTTCCTCTGTGCCTATCTGTCCTAGTCTTTTATTATAAGGAACCCAGTCATTGGATTAGGGCCCACCCTGAAGACCTCACTTGAACTTGATTCCTTCTGTAAAGACTCTTCAAATAGTCACATTCTGAGGTACTGGGAAGGTTAGGACTTATGCATACAAATTTGGAAGTGACACAGTTCAGCCTGTGATATGGTGTTACTACCTCTAGGAAAAGAAGGGGAGTACAAGTGGAGGTGAGAGGAAGGAGCAGGGTAAAGAAAGAAAGTGGGAGCAGTGAGGGCTTACTGGAATGGTAGACAGCTGTATGGAATGGGCCACCTACTAGCAGCTGTGATCATACGGATGTAGTCAGCTTAACCCCTTCCCCGGCAGAAACGTGTATACACGTTTTCACAAAATGTTCTTTTTCAGTCGTCGACGAGTATACTAAGAAAATATGGTAAAAAGATGTGGTTTATAGGAAGACGAGTTACAAACTGTTTTCATAACCAGCATCAAAAATACTATATAGAACCAAAATTAAAAAATTAGTCTGAAAAAGAAACGTTTTTAACAAAAAAATTGTTGGGGAAGGGGTTAAAGAGAATCAAAGGGAGAATCCAGGAGGCGGGGATGTACTTGACCTCACTCTTCCCTCCTTTCTATCTCCTACTGGGTATTTCCCTTTGGCAAAACTAGAAGCCAAAGGGCAAGGAAGACCTTTGATGTAATTTATATAGACACAGAGGAGGGAGGAAAAGTAGATCAGGGAGACAACTGAGAGGTTTCTAGCACACATATTCCTGAAATAACCATAGTTCATACCATATATTCTTAGAAGAATTGTCCTCTGTGGGACCTAGGGCCTGCAACTACATGAGTTCTTAAGAACTCATCAATTCAGAGGACAGTTGTAAAATAGCTTGTGATACTCATGAAACACTCTATAAGGGTTTGTTTCCTTTGTTACTAAAACTTTGAATAGGAGGTCTAGCAAACAGATGGATCTTAGCTCGCATATTAGAAATACCACATTTTAAAACTACCTTTAACTGAGCATAAAATGACCTTGAGACCTAACCATAGCATGTTGGTGTATTGGGGTTCCTCATCTCCATTAGCTGTGCAAACATTCTATGGTGTTAGTACCAGATCTCAAGTAGATTCCCACTGTTATCAGATGTCTGTCCACACTGGTTAAGGATGAGATGCTCATTTACAGTATCTTTAGCTCCCTTGTCCCTCCTGCCCCTATCCAATTCTCTGGGTACGGGAATCTTTGGCAAGACTAGGTGCCCAGCTTACCTGAGCCTACCACAGAGTCTCCCTTGGATCCTGACATGGAAGAAATACTCTTATCTCTGCTACTGGAAGGACCTGCAAATCCTGACCTCTCCTCTTCATGCTCTCAAATGCCCTCCATTCCTATCCAGGGACATCTGGCTTGATTTCGTCAAGGAATATAATCCTTTTCAAAATGTAAAAGCCACTGGCTTCCAGCAGCTTCTACTTCCAGTTCTGCCACAAACCTCCCTCTCCTGGATCTCTGCAGGACATGGAAGAAAGAGAAAAGATAAGAACACAATACACGTTAGCATCTCAATGACTGATAATTCAGTATTTTCCAGTTAAGTTCCTACGTGGTTTCTTTTTATTTTAGCTGATTTCTCCTCTTAGTTCCTTTTTTTAAAAATGCCTTACGCTATTCAAGAGAAGCCTAAAGTACTTTATTAGGATCTAAATCAGGCCATCCTATTGATAAAAGAAAGCAATTATAATAAGTGTTCCCAAACTATTACCTAAATATCTGTGGATTTAGCCCTAGCCAGTTTGGCTCAGTGGATAGAGCGTCTGTCTGCAGACAAGGATCCCAAGTTCAATTATGATCAAGGGCACATGCCTGAGTTGTGAGCTCGATCCCCAGTAGGGGGCATGCAGAAGGCAGCCGGTCAATGATTCTCTCTCATCATTGATGTTTCTATCGCCCTCCCTTCCTCTCTGAAATCAATAAAAATATATGTATTTTTTAAATATCTGTAGATTTAGCAAGATTCCCGATTCTGAAACTACACAGATGATATAATTTCATCTAACCATCTGGATGCCTAACTGGCTTTCCTTCTAAAAATAAAGGGTGGTTTTAAAGTACTGTATAAATTAAGTACTGTATATTTTCCCCATGAGGTTCAGCACACAGCTGACAAGGTGGGTCCACAATAAACAGCTGTAATGATTGTTATTATTTTCATCAATATCATTATCGACATAAATGAGCCCATTTTCCATTCAAGAGAATGTATGTGGATTGGTACAGAAGCATGTGAAATAACGGTCATGACACCATGAAATACCCAAAAAGTAAAGAAGGTGGCCATTAACTATAAGGCTTGCCTTGCCTAAGACAAACTTACGGCACAGAATAAATGTTCAAAAATTATAATTCTCTCTCCCTTCCCAAAAGGAAAGGGTGAAAATTGCATGCCTAAGATCTGTGGTTCTCAACCTGAAGTCCACACACTCTTAAGGAGGTACCATTAAAAATTAAAGAGCTTTTTCTCTTCTCTTTTTTCTTCTTTTTTTCCTAATTCATTATGAAGGTAACACTTAGCTGAGCTTTCTCTACAATCAAATGAACAGTGAACTATAATAATGGTTAACAGTTTGCTTGCTTATAGAAATGCCAATTATCAGAAGTTGTGTACATTTTTAAAATTTCAAAATGTGAAAGTTTGTATAAGAAAGAGAAGCTGGAGATAGTCACAATTTTGTTTAAAATATAAAAGATATACTATTTAATAAATTCTTATGATAAGCACTAAAAGATTAAAAATAGGATATATAAATTCCTAAATACCAACAAAAATTCCATTGGCCAAACAAGCAGAAAAGGCAAGGAGGAAAAGGACGCAAAGAGAAAAAAAACATGTTAAATAGAAAACACAAAGGAGGAAGGTAGGAATATATCTACAGTATGTCAGTAGTCATAATGTACATGCATTAAAATCATATTAAAAGGAAAACCTCAGATGGGATTTTTTCAAAGTACAGAATCCAGTTTCAAGCTTTTTCTCAGAGATGCTCTCAAATTATTCAGAAAAGTTCAAAATAAAAGAATGGAAAAATATATAGTGTATATTTTCTATCCTATCTAATAATAGACAAACATGGTAATTAACCATACCTTTGCTACCATCGCCATTGGCTGATCAGTGCGATATGCAAATTAACTGCCAACAAAGATGGCAGGGTGGGACACCG